AATAATAATAGTGTGCGATCAAGTCACTGATGGGAACCCTTTTTAGGGTTTTCTAAATAGAGAGTACTCAGAAATAGTTTATTGTTCACTTCTGGTGTGCCCTGGGACTGTGCAGTTTGCTCCAGGGCCACACAGACTGGCTCTTCCAGGATGCATAGTGGGGACTTGAACTCCCAACCTCCAGCTCTCTGCAGCCAGATACCTAACTTGCTGAGTTATCCAGACAGAGTTGGGAACATGCAAAGTGTGTAAAAATTTTACATACATGCCTGTTTCACCAAATCCTCCCATCTGTTTTCCTGACATTGCTGGATTAAATTAAATGTTACTCTTATGCCGCAGTAGATGGATGCAGTGGCCCAGTGCCCACAAAACATTGGCTCGCTGCACATCTGGGCTTCTTGATATCAGACTGTGTTGCCTTTTTCCCTTGGCAAAATAATTTGGCAACTTCACTCCTCATGTCTGCCATAGTTTTGTATCTAGACCTTTGGTCTAGATGGGCAGGATAGAAATAAAATAAAATAAAATAAAATCAGTCAATAAATAATATGTATGTATTACTGATAGAAACATCTAATGTAGAGATTGCAATAGTTATTTGAAATGCATTTGAGAACTGTGCTTTATGGAGACAGATATGTAACAACTTACTCTGTTCAGGGGAAAAGGGTGGTCAAGGAAGTTTGTTTTTTCAAGGCTGGTTTCCAGTTTGCAAACCATGGTTTCTACAAAGGCAATGAGCACACACAAATTTAAGTATAATTTGAAGTGTGACTCTATCTAGAAGAAAAGAAATATATGGCAAGTAAAATTTTACTCATCCCACTATATTTTATATATTGGCCAAAAGCATGTTGCTTTGTGTAGTAAATCAAGAGTAGACCCATTGAATTAATGGGATTTAGTGAGTCACCTGCTCTTTAAGTACCATTGATTCAAATGGCCCTACTCTAACTGCGACATACTTTTTGTTGTTTTTACTGAAAAAGACTTACAGGGCTCCCTCCCAATGCCTGAAACAGTCAGTGGAACTATTTGTCACAGCTGTATCTTTATCATGAGACACATCAAATTTGGGATACTCATCAGGCATCTCCCAAAAAGAAGTATTGCCTTCACAAACTGGCAGTTCTGTCATTTATCCTTTTCCACAGGCATTGCATATGGGCGTAGTGGACATCTTCTTCACAGTCTTTCAAGCATCATTTGCCCAGGAGAGAGAGCGAGCGAATGTTGAGCACTGACGTGCACCCTGTTTTTTTCATTGCCATTACTTTCTTAGCACAAACTTGAATTTAGAGACTTTCACATCAAGAGAACCAGTCTGAAAGAACAATACAGTAGCTTGCTTTCCTCCCAGGCATCCATTGAGGGCAAAGTGAACCAAGAGCTTCTACTTACATTTGAAATGAATTATCACAATGCAATCCACAGAGTGTATAAATGTAAATTATATCTGTGATGGGATTTGTCTAGCCACTGCAGTAAAGATTTCTAGGGAAAGATGCTAGTCAGGTCATCTATATTTTTATTACAACTCTAGAAATATGTGCAGAAGTAATCCCATGGGCTTAATTGTGAATCCTGTGTGCTCCATTTGGGTTGTATCACATATGATTTGCAAATATCATAGACATAAAGCTTTCAGTAAGAAATTAATAGCTAAAAATGCATAATTTTCACCGTAGCAGAATGCATAAGCTCTACAATGGACTGAAAATTCTGCATGCCTTTAAAGATTAACTCATGGCAATTTTAAAATGTTGGTTCATAAATCTTAAATGTATCCTAAGATTTTATGTTACATGTCTTCTGGAAAAGATTCATTTAGGCATTTCCCCCTTCATTTTCTTCTTCCTCATCATTACTTTTATATCCTTGTTTCTTCAGCTTGTGATTGTGATCCCGAAGGATCTCGCTCTCTTCAGTGCAAGGAGGATGGTCGTTGTGAATGCAAAGAAGGCTTTGTGGGAAACCGCTGTGACCAGTGTGAAGAGAACTATTTCTACAACCGCTCCTGGCCTGGGTGTCAAGAATGTCCTGCTTGTTACAGACTGGTGAAAGATAAGGTGAGACCCAAGAGAATTTTTCGCAAGACAACATTAACCGCAGAACGAATTAAATTTGTTTTGTGAGGCACCACTGTATATCCATACAGTTGCACGAATGAAGCATGGTGATAAAGAATTTGGGTCGTTTTTTATTTGTATGATTTGGAAGAACACTTGAGATTTGTCAAAAGGGAAGGGGCAGTCCATCTGTAAAATATGGCTTTTGCAAAGCATTGATTGTTTTACCAGATCATTACATTGTGTTTGTTTTGCATTCCTTACTCATTGTCATTTCTACATTTTTCATTGAAACTGGTGTTCTGTTGCTATATTTGTCATCACAAGCGTAAAATTTGACAGCAAGATATGCCTGTAAATCTTCTAAATTGATAAGAAGCCTGTATTGAAGTCACAGATACTCCGTCATGCAGAATCCTACTTTTTATGCCTGCATCTGGTTATAGAGAGAGACTTGACCACAGGGACTGAATGACTCCTACTGGAGTCTTAAAGATATGGCTTTTATTATAGCAGATTTACCCTGCTCCTCAACCAGAAATGTTGTTGGGGTAGTTTACATTTAAACAGTTTTAAAAAGAAGATAGCCCCGCCTGCTTGAAGGTGCACAAGTCTAAAAAGATATCATGCAAAAGGGAAACGGGGAAACAGCAAGTAGCCCTTCAGCACAGCTGGTGGAAATTGCCCAGTTTCCTATGCCATCTCTTTCTGCTGCAACCTGCTGGGGTGGTTTGGATCAACTTCATACCTCTTAGGTACCTTAGGTAAAAAGTGTGATTCTTTTTCTCTGTTCTTTTTTCTTTAGGTGGCAGAACAGCGAGAGAGATTGCGGGAGCTAGAAAATCTTATAGCCAACCTAGGAACTGGTGATGAAACTATAACTGACCAAGCTTTTGAAGACAGGCTGAAAGAAGCAGAGAAAGATGTCATGGACTTGCTTCGGGATGCCCAGAGCATCAAAGGTAGGTCAGTGCCACAGAGGAGACATTTTCCTGGATGTTACTTGTTCTGAGCATGCCTTACATTAGTGATTATTATATGATATGCTTCAGAAGACATGAGGTGCTTGAAAGTAAAATTGAAGAAACTACAGTAGGTCTTGGTTTTGGAGATGTTTCGGGAGATAGTCATGTGATTTTGTTGTGTGTTAGACACTAGATTTTAAAATCTATTTTTTTAAAATTTGATGCAGAATGTACTCAAAGGCTGGATTATTCTTTTTTTCTCTCTTGTGTATCAGTAAAATCAGTCATGCTTGTACTTGCCCATCTTTTTCTGCAGTTAATTAAGATTCCCTTGATACTTTGCCTGTTTTAGATGTAGATCAAGGTTTGATGGATCGCCTGCATGAGATCAACAGAACTCTGTCCAGTCAGCTTGGTAGGTTAAGGAACATCCAGAACTCAGTAGAAGAAACAGAAAACCTTGCTGAGCGGGCTCAGGCCCGAGTGGACAACACGCAGGAATTGATTGAAACAGCTTCAAATATGCTGCAGAGAGCAAGGATGGCAGTGGCCAATGTAGTGAGTGGTTTTGTGTGCTCTATATTTGATATTTCACACTTCATGGCTGAGACTGTTCATATTCTATGTATATTACAAGCATGTTCTCCTTTGAATATATACTAGCTTCTCCTTAAAGCAGGTGAAGGGGCTTCTGGCCATTATGGTTGTAAAACTGTATTTGGAAGAGTGTAAGGAATGCTTAATAGAATTGCTGAAATTAGGTAAAATGATAAAGAATATGTTCAAAATAAGAAACAAAGTGATGGTGTCACATTGTACATTTCATTTTTACCCACTGCATGGAGAATCAGGGAAATCACACAGGATGGCCTCTTTTAGCACCAGCCCCATGTTTGTCATGTTAATCTGGTTTCATTCCACAGTTTCTATTACGTAGTGATAAATCTAGAATACAAGAGGGTATTGTTCACATGTTTAAAGGTATAAAAGATGGCTCCTGAAAATATGTTTGGTTCTTTCTTCAGTCTATTACACCACCCGAATCAACAGGTGACCCCAACAATATGACTGTCTTGGCAGAAGAAGCTCGTCAGCTGGCTGCACGGTGAGACCCACTGTATCCATTCAAGTTTACTACATTGTCAAGAAACAGGAGATTGCTGTCTCCCCACTTGTATCTTCTCGCTCTGCCAACATACCTTCAGTCATGAATTATTATTCTGCCAAGTCTGCAGAGTTGCCACCAGCATCCCCTATTTAGAATCCTCTCCCCTTTTTGCTGGAACTGCTTCCTACCCTTTTGTTTTCAACTCTCCGGAATCTTCCCTTCTTTTTCCTTTTGGCCTAAAGGCAGTTATTGCTAATAGAAAGAGTAGGACCCATAATGGAGGCTGCCCTTCCTCTGATTAATGTGTGTGGATTCCAGTTGTTTAACTGTGACTGTTAGAAACCGAGATGCAAACATAAAACGTATGGTAGCCAAAAATACACTGTGCGTGTGTGCTTGCATAGCTCAGATTATGAAGGGCCATGAGTTTGTATAGGGTAGTATGCTTTTCCTTTAAAATGCATGTTGAACATGAACTCAGGAAGAAAGTGAATTAAGTTTAAGGAGGAAAAAAAAATCATGATTTAAACACACATTAAGGCTTCATACGTGAGGTTCTTGGTATGTATTTTGCCCCCAGGGTACATTTGAAAATTTGTTTCAACCCCAGTGATCCAGTCACACTAGAATGATCCAGTTACTCAAAGAAAGTAAATCATTAGGCATTTCTTTTTCTTCTGGTCAGATAACACGGGCATGCATCAGCTAGTTTTAAGTTTCAAGCTCTTGTGTCTCCCACCCTCACCCCACTGACTTCTGTTTGCATTAGTCACTTCCTGTTTGAACAGACTTGCCAACTAATGGAAAATATATAGTTTTTTACAAGACTTCGATGGGAATCATTGCCTAAATATTTTCCAGAGGATGGAATGGGATTGCAGTAGTCTACAGAATTCAGGAGGTTTGGTGCTGAGGCAGATGCTCTAGATAACTTTAATCTGACTTCAGGCCTGATAATGGGACAGAGATTGCTTTTGTCATTTTGTGGGGTGATCTGCATTAGAATATAGATGGGGGACAGTTACCATTTTGGTTCAGCTGGACCTCAGTGGTTTTCAGTACTATTGATGATAGTATCTTTCTGGACTGCCTCACTGGCATGACATTTGGAGACACTGTTTTATGGTAGTGGCCTTTATTAGAGGGATGATTTCAGAATGCATTTCTGGGGAAATCCTGTTGGATGCTTGTGTCCCTTTGGGCTCCCACTGCTTGCTGTCCTCCCATTCGCCATTTACCAGGTGTGACTGCCTGTCTCTCTGCATCCAGTTTCCTTTCTTCTGGTTAGGGTAGGCCACCCTATTCATTTAAGTGATGCTGCAGACTACAAACAGATTTTAATCAATTAATTAATCAACTTACAAAACATTCAAGTGTCTAGATTCATCCAACAAGATGGAGGACAATCTTGGTTGCATATAAACAGTTATTTGGTTATATATATATTTTAATAGATTTTTTAAAAATTGTGTTATAATTATATATTATTGGTTTGTTATTGCTGCCCATTTTAGTAGAAAGATACAATAGAAATTGAATGAATATGGAGTTTAAGTTATGGGTGGCCAACTGTGTCACTGACACTATGGGTTTTGGCACCTACTAGGCAGGAATAGCAGGAGAGGGGCCGGACAACAGCATGGAGCCAGGTCTGTGCTGCCTTTTAGCTTCTTTTGTGCTGAACTGCTGCATGCTCTTCAGCTCAATACACTAAATAGTAAGCCAGCCCACAGCAGAAGGGACTGCCCGTGTGCTGTATTAAGTCTGGCTGTTACATGTTTTGAATTGGGCCCTTGGTGTCCTCATTGCAGTTCCTGTGTTTTTGGCAGTCCTGCACCTCCCCCAGCCCTTGCATTTTTCTGGCAAAAAGGATAAAGACTTGGAAGACTGGCAGTTCACCTTTTCAGCAAGTTACGCTGTTTAATAACCCCAAATATCCATTCTTAAAAAACAAGAAATAAAGTTTTAGTCATATTTATCCCCCTTCCTTCGAGGAGCAATTCAAGCATTATTGAAAATATTGTTAAAATTCAACATTTCAACATGTTCTTTTCCTTGAGTGTCCCGTATTAATGTGTTTGTAGAGGAAAAGTAAAACAGGGATAGCTTTCTAACCAATTTTTTCTCTTCCAAACTATTCCCTTAGACACAAGCAAGAAGCTGATGATATTGAGCGTATAGCTAGAGAAGCAAATGATACATCATCACAAGCATATAAGCTGCTTTTAGATACACTGGCCGGAGAGAATCAAACAATGAATGACATCAATGACCTTAATAGAAAGTAAGTCTGATTAGAAGACCAAAACAAGAATGCTCTAAAGGCAAATGTTTGCTACCATATTGTCTTGTTTTTTAAAAAATATATTAACTGGGTTTTAGATCATATTGCCCAAAATGGCTAGCAATAGTATCAAAAATAGTTTCAATGGAAGGTGTTTCTGTTTGTGTTCAGTGGCTATTCTTTCAGCTCGGAGGAATGAATGAATGAATCCATCCATCCATCCAAAAAAAGATAAGACACACATTCAAAAATTGAAGAAGAAAATTACAACACCCTCTGTAATTTAAAAAAATTCTCCCTTCTCACCAAACCAGTCAGTGCCCAAAAGCTTGCCTGAAGAGAAAGTTCTTTGCCTGTTGCTGCAAGGATGGCAAGGGAGCAAACTTAGCATCCTGGCTAAGGGAATTCTATCTCTAAGCCCTCTCTCCATTCCTCACTAAATTTAAGTGAGGCATGCGTCACTGTAGCCAGTTGGTAATAAAGACATTTATTTTATTTATTCATAAAACATCAATTAGTTTGGTAGGCAGTTAAAAACAATTGAAGTATCTTTACCAGAAACCCCAATTGGTTGTGCCATCTCTCAAATGTACAGTGGGTGACAGGCTTGTTAATTCCTGCAGTTTGTGTATGGTGGCCACTAGCTGTAAGCCACAGTACACTCAAGACTGCTGAAATGGATACAGAATTAAAAGCTAGAGGAGTAAAACAAACCACATGGAAAGAATGGCAAAATGCATTAACTTTGACTTGGTGCTGAACATTGTGAGTTGAAGTTGTCTCAGGAAGATTTCCATATAGTCATTGGCCAAATGAGTCAAGGAACAATGTATTCTCGAAGGCTTTCACAGCCGGGAACTGCGGGTGGTAGGTTTTTTGGGCTGTCTGGCCATGTTCTGGTGGTTACTCTTCCTAATGTTTCGCCAGTCTTTGTGCCTGGCATCTTCAGAGCACAGGCGTTAGAACTCTGTGTTCTGGTCAAGGAACACATCTCAAAGACAGTATAGGGCTATCAGGAACAAATGCCATGTTGATGCACCCACAGATCTTGCTTCACATGGCTATGTGGATTAACTTAAAAGATGAGGTAAAAGGTCACATAGGCCCCCAAGTCATTTGGGCATTTTAACCAGTGCCTTTCAAATAGTGGTCAAAGGTGACAGATTGTGCAGTGGATCCAGCCAGTGTGGTCTACCCACATGAAGGTTCACCATGCCCTGCCAGCATTAATAGACTAGCACTGAACTCGCTTCTTCCTTTCTTTTAAATCCTTGTGATATATTTCATTAGAGGAACTCATTGAATATATGAGGCTGGCCTGTAGTGTGAGACTGTAAAGCTCCACATTCTCTCCCTCAAATGGCAGCAGTTCTCTTATGTCTCAGAGGTCCATTTCAAAAGCTGAGCAATCTTCTAAATGCAGATACACTTGTTGTGCCTTGGAGTGAAAGATCTTCTTCATTTGATACACCTGGGTTATATATACTTATGTGCATGAACCTGGCAGTGCTTTCCTGAAGGACTTTTTGTGCTCAGGCCAGTATTTTTACCTGGAAGCCTCAGATGCACAAATGTGTGGTCTTGAAAGGCCAAAATTTGGTGTTGAAAGAGGGCCAAAAGGTTTCACATGTGCACCCAAACATGCATGGGAGTATATGCATACAAATGTATGCAGTTGATGTATGTGCACATATATTTAAACCTATCACAAGTGCCTATATGTACACTGCATGGTTGCTGTGCACACATAAGGTTTCACATGTGCACCCAAACATGCATGGGAGTATATGCATACAAATGTATGCAGTTGATGTATGTGCACATATATTTAAACCTATCACAAGTGCCTATATGTACACTGCATGGTTGCTGTGCACACATAATCAATGTGACAACCCCAGACCTACTGGGATATGCCACAGTTTAACTAAGCTGCCACCAACCATTCCCTGTAAGGAGTCACACAGACCAGGGATGGATTTTTAACAAACAAAGGAATAAGGTTTATTTAAATAACACACAGGGAAAATAAAATGATCAAGTGAATAAGATACAGTAACGTGGCTTAGTCTCAATCATACATACACCATTTTGGTTCACACAGAACACCTTTAAATAAAGCACAGACCCTGAACCTATCAGTTCTGGCTACCCATAAAGACACCTGAACCAATCAGGTAGGTACTGACTGACACACAGTAGTACCCTGTCTGACACACAGACTCCCACACCAGCTTCTTCTTCCCAGCTTCTCTCAGCTCTCCTCACAAGCTCCACATATATATACAGTACAGCCCCTCCTCCTGATGTCCCGCCTTCCACTCCCCATAGGATGGAACTTTCCCTCCAAACCCATGACAGACAGGTAACATCAGTGCTGTATGTAACAACGGCGTTCCATGTCTAGTCACACTGGCCACATATCCACAGAAACTGTCTTCGGAGAAACGCTGGCTCTATGGCTTGGAAACGAGGATGTGCACCGCACCCTAGAATCGGACACAACTGGACTAAATGTCAAGGGGAACCTTTACCTTACCACCCCCTCTTCCTGTTTTGTTTCTTGCTTCTATTGTCCTTGTTATTGATACATCTTTTTCCTCTGACCAAACAACAAACATGGGAGGCTCTTCCACATGGTGGAGACTCCATTTCCCCATTTTTCCTTCTACTGACTGTTACTACAAATAGTAACTATAAGTAAAGATAGCTTTATCTGTTGGAGAAAAGTAATAGCCTAACATAACTATACCTTGCTAGTAAACAATTAGCAAAATCCCTTTTCTCTGGGCTTGAGACCGGCCCTGCCCTTTCTTGTTGTTTGTTTCCATCCGTTTTGTTTGTTCTCTCTCTTTCTCCTTTCCTGATCTCCAAGCATATAGCAAGCATGGAGGACATCTCTACCACATGATGGAGACTCAATTTTCCTATATTTTACTTTTCTGATTGTAACTGAAGTTCCACAACTGTAAGTAAGTATGTATTTTCTTTTCTACTTAAGCTACTTGTGGAATGATTTAATATACAATCGCCTAGTCACTGTGAGAACAAGAGGGGCTGGCTGTTTTCCCTGTGCTACAGCTAGCTGCTAACTAAAAGGAATTAGGCAAAATTCCTCCAATATTTTCTACTTTAAATGCTTTTAGAGTACTTTTGTCATGCAAAGAGTTTGTGTGAAAAAGGAAACCAAAGGAACGGGCAGGGGCTGAGACTGAGCTGATATCTCCACATTTTCTTGTCATTTCTTGTTATTTTACCTCGCATTCTGCTAGCTGAAAGGAATAATAAAAATTTCCCAATATTTTGGAGACTAAGTTGCTCAGATTTTCTCCGACTTACATTCTGCAGGTCCTGTTGATTTAAATGTAGCTTCTGCTTATCCCATTATAATGGATGCTTCTCAATCTGTAAAGCCTAAGGATACAAACAGGATCTTTGGAGAGAGAAAGCCACCACATGCATGTTGGATCCTTGCCCTTCCTGGCTTATAAAAGCAACCCTAAGGGGACTGACCAAGTGGGTAAGAGGAGTATTAAATGCCTCCTTGCAGTACAGTACACTGTTGGCATGCTTTAAGGAGGCAGCTGTAACTCTTCTACTGAAAAAGCCCTCTGTGAACCCTACTGTATTAGATAATTATTGGCCTGCCTCCAATATTCCATTTTGGGTAACGTATTCTATTTTGGGTGGTGGCTTCTCAACTCCAGGGATTCCTGGATGAAACAGATTACCTAGATCCATTGCAATCTGGCTTTAGGCCTGGTTGTGGGACAGGGATGGTTTTGGTTGCCTTGGTGGATGACATACACAAGGAACTGGACAGAAGGAGTATGTCCCTGTTGGTTACGCTGGACGTTTAAGTGGCTTTTGCTACCATTGACCATAGTATCCTATTGGCTTATTTCTCTGGGATGGGGCTTGGAGGCACTGTTTTACAGTGGCTCAGGCCTTTGCTAGAAGAGAGATCCTAGAAGGTTGTGCTGGGGAGTCCTGTTTGACACCCTGGTTGTTGGCTTGTGGTGACCTTCAGGGTTCTGTTTTGTCTCCTGTATTACTTAACATTTACATGAAACTACTGGGAGAAGTTGTCCAAAATGCTGGGATTTGTTGTCACCAGTATGTGGCTGATACACATCTCTCTCTCCTTACTGTCTAAATCCTAGGAGATTGCTTTGGCTCTAGATCAGTGTTTGATGTCAGTAGTGGACTGGATGAGGGTGAATAAACTGAAACTTAATCCAGACAAGACAGAGGTGCTCCTGGTCAGTCAAAAAGCACATCAGGGAATAGGGAAATAACTGTGCTGGATGGGGTTGCACTTTCTCTGAAAACACAAGTGTGTAGCTTGGGGTTGCTCCTAGATTCATCTGTGAGTCCGGATGTCCAGGTTTTGGCAGTGGCCAGAAGGGCATTTGCACAGTTAAAATTAGTGCACCAGCTGCACCCATTCCTGTAGAGGATCCCTTAGTTACATCCTGACTGGATTATTTTAATACTGTCTGTGTGGAGCTGCCGATGGAAAGTGCCATGAAACTTCAGTGGGTCCAAAACACAGCAGCCAGATTGCTAACTGGTACTGGTTACAGCAGGGGTCCCCAACCGCTGGTTCGTGGCCTGGTGCTGGTCCATGGCCATGGCAAGACCGGGTTGTGAAGACAGATCTCCCGCTCCCCTGCATGCACTTCCCCCATGCACCCCATCCACATGCATGTGTGCCCCACCCCTCATGAGTGTGCCCCTCCCCTCTGTGCATACATGCCCAGCCAATCCATGAGAGTGGGGGGTGCCCCCCCATGGAGCCTGCCCCCCCCATTGGTCCACGATTCAGGAAAGGTTGGGGGCCACTGGGTTACAAGGATCACATAACTCCCTGTTACAGCAGTTCCACTGGCTGCCTATCCACTTTGTGGCACAATTCAAACTGCTAGCTCTAATCAATAAAGCCCTAAATGGCTTTGGTTCAAGCTATTTCAAGGGCTGCATCTCCCTTTATAAGCCTGGCAGAGTGCTGAGATAATCAGAATAAGCCTTCCTCTTGGTCCTGATGGTACCGAGGAAAGCTGAAGCTGTACTTTAAGACTGATCAATGAATTAGTAACTGACAGTACATTTGGAGGGAAACCAGGCCTTGGGAGAATTAGACCCTGAAACATTCACACATGTTCAGGTAATTAAATAAAAATTCACAGATAATCCTTAGCAGAGAAAACCACAAGCCTCAGAGAAACTAGGCCCAGGAAGACAATACATAGACATAGCAATAGATAAAGGGAAATAGATACTCTACGCCCCAGACTTTTAGGTACATCCCTGGTGCATCATGGACATAGGTCAAGGAAAGATGGGGCA